GATGAAATCGGATAGGGATGAATGAGTTTAAGAGTTTTTAAGAATTTAAGAGTTTTAAGAATTTTAGTCAAATGCTTTATAATATAGTATAAATAAAGTATATATTAAATAAAAAATTATATCTATTTAAAAACTATTAAATTTACAATTAGAAATACAAAGGAAATCAAGATAAATTCGTATATTTTTTTGAGTTGAATATATAGTCAAACTATTAATAATTAAAATAACAACAAAATAAAAATTATAAACAAAGATTATATTTCTTTCTTAATTGTTTGAATATATTATCGAATAGGCCTTTTGATGAAAGATATGAACAAGAAGCTTCAAGAAAACTGGTGTTTTCCAAATTATATGAAGCCAGTATGTAAACAAAAATTCCATTTTCTCTGTTTTATTGAATATCCTCAAACAACTAAGGCATATATTGTTGGCACCTATGCAATGTATCATAAAAGTACAAAATTGTTTTTTAAAATGTGGTTACTTTTTTTTTATAACTGTAAATGGTTGTTTGGAATTGCTTATTTGAAATAATTTATATTTTTTTATAAAAGTGCTTATGAACTTATTATAAGTTAGAATGTTTTAACTTCTTCAAAAACTCTTTATTACTAGTTTGACACCGATATAAAATATTTATCAAAACATTCAAAAGTGCTTATTATCAATATTATATTGAAATAAGTCAATAATTTGTTTTTATAAACAATCCCAAACACCCTAAAAATATAGGAGTCAATTTATACATATCTAAACTAATTTGATGAGACAATTGCATAATCTTATTAACAATAAGCAGCAAGACCAAATTGCCCACACAACAAACAACCGATATACACAACACACATACAGATAATTCTAGATAAAAAACGCAATTTAGGAAACGATAGCAGTGGGAAAAGTAACCTAACAGAATTAGGCACAAACCGCCGATGCAACATCGCCGACGACATGACCACCGACGACATCAACATTTCGAGAATAGCAACCAAACCCATCCTTGTAATCGTAGATCTGATGATTATCTGCTGTACCCGATAGAACAGCATTACCTTTTATCACCATCGAACCATTACAATTTTGACTGTGATTCAAAACCCTAGAATCATTCACGTCGTAAAACGCCTCGCTTCGCCCTTGCACCACCGTCGTGTTCATTATAGAAGTATCTGGATCTGATCCGGGCCCAGTCTTGATGTTGATATTCAGAGGATATTTGATTTTTACTTGTAAGCTTTGAATCAACTCACCATTTTCATCCGTGATGGTTATTCTGCTATTCCTGTTGACCCGCTGATTGAGTCGTTTCCTTGTTCCCTGATCTTGGAACTTGAGCTTGCTCTTGAATTTCATTTTATCGGTGTATTCGATTTTCAGTTTGCCAAAGCTTGAAGTTACTAACCCTTTAGCTTCGCTTTCCCTTTCTCCTTCTAACTCGAATTCTCCATCGAGCCGTTTAAACTGATTCTGACGTTCAATCTCCATAGATGGGACTTTATATTTCAGAGTTTCCGCTTTTACATTTGAATGATCCAACCACAGATGCAAATTTGCATCCACCAGCCAAAATGAAATGCCATCAGCAACCTGGAGTCCGATTGAATGAGATTTGTTATCTGAAAGAAGCCCTAAAAATGGAGTTAAATCGATATCATAAGAAGGAAGATCAAAAGCTCCAATGGACACAACCGGCTCCCAAAACAACGGATTTATTCCGCCGGTGAATATCACCGGAAAAGGAATCACTGCTCCGACCAATATCCCGTCGATTGTGACCAGAACTTCACGATACGCTCCGTGAGCTCTTCCGGTGGCCAAATGATTGGCTTCTATATATGAATCCGAAGGATTCATGTACCAGAATTCATCGTCTCCATGAAACGAAACATACAATTCAAGCACTGCTTTGTAAGTTTTCTGAGAAATTTGGACATTTTTTCTTTGCACATCGGTTTCATTTTGAATTCTAAACCAAAAACCTTCATCAATAGCCCCAGATATCGGGATAATCAAATCGGCTGGCTTATCATATGGATATAACAAATTCAATACTCGATCAAGCTCAATTTTATCCTCATTTCCATGAGTCTTAACAGAAATCAATTTTCTATTCAGCCGATGAGTTTCTGAATCTCCCGAAACGACAGATAACGGAACCCTAACGTCTTTACCAGAGTAAAAAAGAAAGGAGACGTTAACGTGATAAACACCGGTGAACTCGTCGTTCACAATGTTTTCGAGCATGACTGAAAGTGTATGATTGTCCTGCCTAATTATGGAAGCATACCTAGTCACATCCTTCCGAACAGTCCAGAAGATTCCATCTTCGGTGGGTTGAGCCGTACTCGTCCGCAACAGCTCTACTCCGTCGATCCAGACTCCGGCGATACGGTCGTACTGCTCACCTTTACATTCAGCTCGGAACTCAAGGACGGCAAGGGACCAATTACAGGTCACCGGCGGCGGAATGTAGTCAACAGTGACGGGGGGACTGCCGTAGGTGTACCCAAAGTTGTAATCGAGTACGTTGACAGAGCATGCCGGAGTAATGGCGTCTGTGGGAAGTGGGCGTGTGACTTCAAAGTACTCCTGAGGTGCGACGTTAATGGTTTCATTGCCGGAGTTTTGTGTGAATGATTTGAGGAAATGGGGTGGTGATGATGAGGATTGAATTGGGATGGCGAAGTACAGAGGGAGGAGGAGAATGAGGAGATCGGCGATGTTCATGATTCTTTTGTTACTGAAGAAAATGGAAGTTTGGGGGTTTATAGAAGAGTGTCTGGTATGGAGGAGCTTGGGAAGCTTCCTAGCGGTTGAGGTCTTAACGGGGACATATGTACCGTTATGTATGTTTAACGGGGTTCTTAGACAATTTAATACATTATATTATCGGATGAATATAGTAAGGATAAAAAATCTTACCTGATAAGAACAAGACAAGGACCAAGAGTCTTACCCGATAAATGAGGGCAACGACTCTTACCATGATAAGTGTTTACCGGGTAAATTGTTGTATACGATGTCGTTTTGATGAACTAAAATCTTATCTGGTAAGTAAATGATAGTGTTAATTTTTTCCGGTAAGCATTTATTTGGTAAAAGGCCCCTTAATCATTTAAGTTTTAATTTGTTTTTAAAAATATTGTCTTAACGGGGACATATGTACCGTTATGTATGTTTAACGAGGTCTTATGTTTTTGTTTTAAGTTTTAATTTGTTTTTAAATTATATCTTTTAATTAAACTTGTGATTTATATAAAATGTAGATTCTTATCAAAGATTAGGTTCAATCCTCCCTATTTTGAGGCTCCTATTGTGAATAATAAATACATCCTGAAGAAGGCTAATGGCACTTTTAGGGTGCGTTTGGTGCGCAGACAGAACAGGACATGACAGGACAGGACATCTGTTCAACGTTTGAAGACATGACAGGACATAACAGAACTGGTTAAAATAACCAATTTACCCCCAATGACCAATTTATGCATTTATTCTACATAAAACAGTAAGAAAAGGCGTTTATTGTCAATCACCAAACAATAAACAAACTAGAGCAAAATTCATAAACAAAGTAGAGCAAAATTCATATTTCATGACAGCTAAAATAACTGATTTACATTAATCAGCGCATAATTCAGTTTACACAAACTAAGGAAGCAGAGGCCAAGATATAGAACACAAACTAAAGAATCGGTAAGAACATGAGGCGCATAAATAATTATCTAGAAAGGGGGGAAATGGTTTGGAACCTGTAAGAACATGAGGCGCATAAATCAATCTTGACTGTGTTGCCTAAGCCGATGCTCTGCCAAAACCACTCGCTTTCTGTGAAATATCGAGGGGAAATCGAGGGGTTGTTGGGGCGGAATATGGTGGTGAGGGGCGGCGTCTTTGGCAGGTGCAGGAGCATGAGCGAAGAGGTTGAAGACGTCTGAACAGGGCCGAGGGGTTGTTGGGGAAATCGAGGGGTTGTTGGGGCGGAATATGGTGGTGAGGGGCGGCGTCTTTGGCAGGTGCAAGAGCAGGAGCGAAGAGGTTGAAGAAAGCGATGGAGGAAGCGATGGAAAGCTATGGAGGAAGCGGTGGAGGATACGGGAAAAGGAAGTGGGGAAGAAAGGAAGCGATGGAGGCTATGGGGAAGGGGTAGTTTGGTAAAAAAAAGTCTGTGTTCCACTTAGTTCTAGGGGGTAAAAGAGAACTCGCTTGTCCCACCCTTGTCCTAGTTAGTTCTACTTAGTTCCATATTAAGCCACACCAAACGTAAGGCAAATGTGTTCTGTTCTGTCCTGTCCCACCTTGTCCAGCGCACCAAACACACCCTTAAAATGTACTAATGGCATCCCTAATCTTTATTCTTATTATTTTGTTTTTTAGTTTTTTTATCTTTTGTTTTTTTTTTCTATTTAAATTATTAATTAATTCTTTTTTTAGTTTATTAATTAATTCCTTTTTTGTTTTC